CCCCAAAACCCCAAAACCCCAAAACCCCAAAACCCCTTTTTAAATTTTAAGATTTGAATATTTTAAATTAACCATGAGAATTGCATACTTTGTGTCCAACTATGAGATTGGCCTCCTCATACTGTATTGGATAGATACTTTACTGAAGTTGTTATACACAACTTGGTTTAACAGAATGATGTTTTACATGATTTCAGTAATGCTAGCCACACACTTCATTCATCCGCATTTGAGAAACCACGCTATTATTTCAGGTCTTCTGTATTTTCCCTCTTCTTTTATATGAATGTTTGTTACTGAAGTAGATGGGGTGCTCTGGTTTGTACTAGCAGCTTTACCTATAATAAACACTGTGATTCTTCTGAAATTTGGAAGATTTGAAGTAATTGACCCAACTGGCCCTTATGGAGTTGGCCATAAATTTGAAACGATAGAGACAAAGACAGGAAACATTCTCTGTTCAATCTTCTACCCTATAGATAAAGAAGAGTATGATAACGGCAAAGATGATCCAAAGAAGAATATTGGATGGTTTGGACTTGGCTCTAAAGGCCTGAGTACTGTATCCAAACTGTTTGAATCAAACTCTATTTTCGAGCAGGATATCACTACTTATAGAATCGCATGTGTTAAAGATGCAGATTTGCACAAAGATTTCTCTACTAAGAGCAAGAAGCTGACACCTGTAATCTCCTCACATGGCCTTATGTCATCAAGGAACAGACTTTCAGGTATTACCTCCGAGATGGCAAGTCAAGGATGTATTGTGCTCTGTCTTGATCACACTGACGGATCATCATTCTCTTACTGTGACGAAAATGAAGAAGAAGTCGGGCAGTTTGAAGATTATGATAAGGAAGTTCACAAGTGTAAAGAGAATGAATATAGAGCCCAACAACTTGATACCAGAATGCAAGATATCGAAAAATTGTTAGATTTTGCCAAAGAGAACTTTCCTGATGATAAATGGAACATTGAATGGGACCACCTTGTCGCTTTTGGGCACTCTTTTGGAGGAATCTCTGCTGTTGAAATGTGTCAAAAATTCCCTGAAAATTTCAAGATTTGCATTGCTTTAGATCCATATTATATGCCAAGATATAAGGAGATTGAAGGAGAACAAAATTATTGTGTAAAGCAGCCTCTCTTGTTGCTAAACTCAGAATTTTTCTATAAGGATAAATCAGGACCAGGTAAGATTTTAAATAACATCATAGTCGCTATAACTGAGTTTGATGGTATCAAATGTGGTGATAAACTATTCAAGGATTCTAAAACAGCCTCTGGAGGGGAGCAAAATCACAACATAACCATTAAGGGGACTGGCCACTCAGATATGTGTGATGAGAGACTTTACTACTACAATGTATTCAAGAAGTTTGGACATTGTGTAGGAGAAAATATTTATGAAGTATTTATCAGTGCTGTGTTGGCTTATATGGGCGAAACTGGTTATCTTCCAGTCAAATATCCAAAGAGCCTAGACCAAGTTGTCAAGCAATATGTTTAAATTTGCTCTCAATATTGTTAAAATGTTGTCAAAATCAGCAACAATGAGTCTCCTCAAAAGAGTAAATGTTTTCAATATGAGAAGCTTATTTTGGGGTTTTGGGGTTTTGGGGTTTTGGGGTTTTGGGGTTTTGGGGTTTTGGGG